AGATAGATAGATAGATAGATAGATAGATAGATAGATAGATAGATAGATAGATGCCAAGTACCTTCTTTTACATTTAATGTCATCAGGCATTTCACTGTATTGCTACAGAGAATTTCAATGGTTTGATGCATTTCCTGGGATCACATTTCTACTTTGCTGGGGCTAAAGCCGAGGCAGAAATATGCTCAGCCTCTCTGCCTCCCAGAAATGGGCTGTAAAGTTCCAAAGCTCTTGTCATCTTTAAGAATAGAGAACCAACCAAGTGAAGGGAAGTATTCTGAAGGCAACAAGCAGACCCTGCCTCCTCCAAACACCCAGATCTTTTCACGTGTTGCTCAGTTTCATTGAGTGATGTGGAGGCTTAGGTGGGCTTTGCTGGCTGGGGTGATTAGGGTGTCTGAGGCAGAAAGAGGTGAGAACTGAAAGGTATCATTACTGGTCTCTCGTGCTGAATTTAAAAGAGGACACAGATAAGAGTCATAGAGGCCAGGGGTTGCAATCTGCATTGCAGGAGAGAACAGCCCCTTCAGTGAGATTACTGGTCTATTGAAGGACGTGGTGGGATCCGAGTGAAAGAAAAGTTAAAAAGCCTTCCTATGTCCTCTTCCCTTCCCTGGCAGTGAAAAGTGCCTCAGAAAATAGCACAGAATCAAACAATTTCCTTCAAGATGATAACTATTGTATGGATAGGAAAGCATTTTTCTCCCAGGGGATTCTTTCAATCCAATCCAGCAGGCCCTGCTCCCTTGGGCCAAAAGGTGAGAATTATTTTTTCACCCAGAACCCTTTGATGCAATCATATTTGCAACAACGGGGTTTGGTGTGAGATGGCCACCCTTCCTAAGAAGCTTCATGTATCCTGATTGCCCATCCTTTGTAGTAGATGTAAACTAAAATGGCTCATCCAGAAATGACCCAGCAACTTTAATAGAGTTGCCAGCCTCAGTAGTGTCAGCCAGTCAGCCAATAATCATTTATTAAGTGCCTACTATGTGTCAGGTACTGTTTTAAGCACTGAGGATACAAAGAAAGGCAAAAGACAGCCCCTGCTCTCAGAGAGCTTACAATCTAATGGGAGAGACAACAAGTAAAGAAATAGATACAAACAAGCTATGTACAGGATAAATAGGAAATAATTAACAGAAGGAAGTCACTAGAATTAAGAGGGATTGAGAAAGGTGCCTGTGGAAAGTATGATTTTAGTTGGGGCTCGAAGGGAGCCAGGGAAGCCAGGGGGCAGAGAGGGAAATTCCAGGCATTCCAGGCATAGAAAGTGCTTGGATTTGGGAGATGGAGTGTCTATTTGAGGAACAGTGAAGAAGCCAGTGTCACTGGATCAAAGAGTACTTGGTGAGGGGAGGTTTAAGGGCTAAGAAGATTGGAAAGATTAGGGTCGGGGCTAGGTTATAAAAACCTTTGAACAGCAAGATTCTGCATTTGATTTTAGAGGTGATAAAGAGCTACTGGAGTTTACTGAGCATGGAGGTGACGTGGTCAGATTTGTGCTTTGGTGGAAGAATATAAGGTAGTCTAGAAGAGACTTGACACACGCTGACCCCCAAACAGACCACTGCCATAGGCCAGGTGTGAGGTGATGAGGGCACCGTCTTGGTGGCAATGTCAGGGAAGGGGGTGTACTGGAGAGAAATTGCAAAGGGGAAGTCAATAGTGTCAGAGAAGTAGAAACAGAGATGTGGTTCTGCCTGGGAACGGCAATGCCTGCCCTTCCCAACCCTGCTGTGCCCACAACCCCACGTAGTCCAGATCTGGGACCTTTGTCTCTTTTGTAAAGAAAACCCCTTTGGGAGAAATGAGGGAATCAAGCCTCATTCTTCACCTTCCCATCACATCCACCTGTCCAGTCACGGCACCTCACCATCTGTCCTGCTATGCAGGTGCCTCTCCGCTTTCCTTCCTTCTCACCTCTTCCTCTGGACACAGGAATCAAATCAACAGTCACTTTTAGAAAGGGTCAGTCAATGGACTGCCTCCATATGACCCCCCCTATCATCCTTGGGACTCTCAAACCAAAAGGACCCTCTCTGGCCACCACTCCATGATACGCATTGCCTCTTCTTATTAGACTGTAATCTCTTTGAGGCTAGGGGCTGGCTCACTTTATTCTGTTTTTACCCGCAGGGCTTAATAAATGATCTTTCTTTATTTCTTCCTTCCCTCCCTCTCTTCTGAAAGCACTTTAGCTGTGGGAGTGGTTTGCATTTCTTAAGTGCCCACTGTGCCAGGTGCTGTAATAGGCACTGGGGATTCAATAGCAAAAAGGAAAGAGCCATACGTCGAGGTCCCCCAAAGAACTGAAGACAAAGCACTTACTTCCGTAAGGGGATCCTGTGGGGGAGCCGTTTAAGAAGCCTGGGGAGCCTGGCACGCCCAGGTTGGCCATGGGCACGTTGCTGTAGCCGTTCATGCTGTTGCTGGATGTGCTGTAGTTCGACTGCTGGGGGGTGGAACTGGAGGAGTACCCACGAGGAGAGATGCTGCTTGTGTTCCGGATGTAACCTGGGCAGGGGAGGGACATGAGCAAGTGAAGCAGCGGGCCACACAGCACCGAAGAGGGGACGCTAGGACCACGCTGCCTCCCCAGAGTCTGGCTGGGACACAACTGCAGACAGAACCCTTTGGTGCTAGGGTCCTTTCTCCTCTAGCCTGTTACTTGGGAGCATGGGTTTAGAGCCGAAAGACTTTGCAGACTATCAAGCCCAACCTCTCTACCGGCACCACTTTGCACATGAGGAAACTGAGGCACTGACATTAAGTAACTTCCCAAGGTCACACTACTAGCTGGCATCTGATGTAGTCCTTCAACTCAGGGGATCCTGACATAAGCCCAGTGCCCTGTTACCGTTCCCCTACTCCACTCAGATTATTAGATGCTCCTTTGCTCTAAGATACTAATGTCCAAGAGAATTTTAAAGCATTATCCCTGGCCTTCCAGGGATTCTTGAACAGGGAAGGAAATCTTGAGCAATGGAATTGGGCTACAATGTCAGAATTTCAGGCATTGTTTAGTGGTAGGGATAAATGGAGGAAAATGGAACCAATCCTCCCGGCACACACCACCGCCACCACCACCCCTGCCAAATTCACCAGGCATAGGCTCTGCTTATGTGTTTGCCTGAATTTTGAAATACCCACTAGGACAACTGTCTCTGAACTCTAAAACCACACAACAGGGACAAAGCACGTCCACGCCAAAAATAAATTGATGATTGAATTTCTAGTCTAAGAATTCACCAGTTCCAGCCTACAGGGTTATCACAAGAGGACCATCTCCTTAAAAGACTCGGTGTAATAAATAAGCAAACATACCATCTATGGCCTGAGGAAATAATACATCTCACACACTTATTTTTGACTATTTAAATATATGCAGATGTTATTAAGATTATATAAAACTGAAAATTCACTTACAAGTGGCATTAAATTCAGAGACACTATTCGCTCAAGCTGCTAGAGCCCTTCCCTCTAAGGTTATGCTGTATCTGCTTTGTTGGCTCTTGTAAAGCCCTATATAAGTGCATGGAGTTTCCCCAGTAAGATATAAGAAGTTACTTGCGGGCAGAGACTGTATCTTTTTTGTCTTTATAACTCCAAATGCTTAGCACATTGCCTTGCACTTAGCAGGTGTTGAATAAATGTTTGTTGATTGATTGATTGATTGTTGTTTTGTCTGCATCAACAGACAATAAAATTGTGGATACTAAACAACTGGCATTGCTTGGGGGCTGAGAAGTTTTTGTTGTTAAAAAGGGATTTTCGTACTTAGCAGAGATGAGAAACCACTGCTGTACTTCATCCATCTTTACATTCCCAAAGGAAAAGAAAACAGAATTTCCAGCTGGAGGCCTTAACCTTTACTTTTGCTCTAGGAACTGACTAATTCATGGAACCCCTCCTACAATGCCTATCCACTTTCAGAACACAGCTCATGTACCACCTCCTATCCAAGTCCTTTCCTAATCTCCCTCCCCCAACCATTGTTAGCCCTCTGTCTTGAAATTACTTTGCATATACTTTGTTTTTACTTATCTTTGGATATATTGTATTCTTCATTAGAATATAAGCTCTTTGAAGGCAGGTACTATTTTTTTTTGTCTTCATATTCTCAGTGTGTATCACAGCACTTAACACATGATTCAAGTTTAATCAATATTTGTTAAATTGAATCACCACTCTGCCCCCCAGCTACCAGTCAAATTACATTGTAATGATTTTGTATGTGTAAGGGGGTATCCCCTACCCCACCCCAAATATTGTAATTATAAAAGGTCTAGACATCTCTCTGTAATCAATCAAAAGCATAAACTAGATGTTACCTAGTCTTTATCAATTTGGAAGTAGTGAAATATTTTGGTCGGTAGATAAAATCAGATAAAAACTCAGAAAATGTATTAGGATTGGAAGAATGAATCAGACATATCTTTGGGTCTGTGTATATTATAGCAACCCAGCTTGGAATTGAGACTTCCAAGATATTCTAGCAATAAGCCAGTCTAGTTACTGATAATTGATCTGAGGAGTGAGGATTGAATTCTCTCTCATCTCCTCTCCTCCTGTCCCCCCATGTCTAGAGGACAACAGTATAAACTTTGAAATGTCAGAAGATTTCGTTTTATCATTGGAATTAGTAGCAGTATCCTCAGAACATAAGTGGCAGGACCACACCATCTACATTTGGGAACTAAAACACCTCAAAGATAGCAGCTTCAGGGTTGACAAAGGCATTGACCCTTTGCTAGGCATAGAGCCTAGCAAATAGCTACATTGAAAGGGAATGTCATGAGTATACCACAAAGGGAAAAAAAAGACTTCTAGTAATTAAGAACTTTGATTTACCCCTTTGTCACGTATACTATTTAAGCATTTTCCTGGATGGGTATGTATTTGTGGAAGAGTGAATCCAAGACATTTGGAGGCATGCTTTATACTGTTATCACCATATCACATCAGTAAATTAAGTCTGGCTAGCCAATAATGAACAGCGAATAAACCAGATTTGGGGGAGTAGGAAGAGGAGGTTATGTGAGACAGTACTAGAAGTACATCAGGGCCCTGCCTACCAGTGTGAGTGGGGGTTGGAGAAATAGCCCCGGAAGGGCATGCTACAGATACAATTTTATTTATGTGCATGTTACAGTACACAGTAAGCTACTAGAAGGCGGGAACTCTTTCCTCTTTGTTTTGGTAGTCCCAGTACTTAGCACAGTGTCTAGCACATAGTAGGTGCTTAAAAATTGATTCAACTTATGGAATGGGATGGATTGAGGAGCACTCATCTATTAGGTTAAAATAATTGATTCAGAGGAAGATTATCTTCCTTTTACTGAGTCTTTTGATTTCTAGGACAATGAAGGAAAATGGTAGAAGAACAAAGGGGCAAGGGTATTTTTAAATATCTTTTTTTAAGTGGTCAATGAAAAGTAATGTATTAAACTCAGCCTGATCAAATAATAAGGCATACCTGAAATAAGAAGCTGTCTCTCTATGCGCTTCGCATTTTTGTTCACAAATCAGCTCAGATTTTCTCATCAGTTTGTACGTATGCAGGCATCTATGTGATTACATAGAGCTATGAGCTATCTACCCCAGAGCTTTCAAGATTCTCCAAGTGATGCTCTGTGATGGTGAGCCATGGAACACCACAATGTCTGAAGAATTAATAATACTGGTGAGTCCAAGATCAATGGAAAGATGAAAGGTAAGCACAGGTAGGAAGAAGCAAGTCACCAAAAAAAGATTTATGAGTGACCAGTGTCAATAAAGACATCCAGGATATATATGGCCTTCCTCCCTCCACTTAAAAAGGAGGTGGGCTGTTCATACATCCGTGGGAATGGATAACATAGAGCTAAGCTAAATGCTAGAGGAATAGAGAAGTTATGGAAAACCATGGACAAGAAATACACCAAAAAAGAAGGTGTAGGTAGGTTGTGATTTATACTGATGTGAACAGTGTTTATAAACATGAGATCATGGACCCTTTGAAATGTCTAAATAACATGTCCCAAGTAAAACAGAGGATTATTCATTTAACCAGAGGTAAAGATGCTGAAAGATCATGGGATCACAAATATGGAGTTGAAAGGGATCTTAGAGATCATCAATTCTAAGCTCCCTCATTTTAGCCCAGTGTCTGGCACATAGTAGGTGCTTAATAAATGTTTCTCAAATTGAATTGCAGATGAGGAACAAGAGATTCAAATAGTTGAAGTGATTTTCTCAAGGTCTCACACCTAATATGCATCAAAGGCAGGATCTGAACACACGTCTCCTAATTCCAAAATCAGTAGTCTTTTTACCATACCATATTGCTTCTGGGTAAAATATATTATACAGGAAATAACTGAAGAAAGGAAGTGGGTTGATCATATGGTAAGTGAGAGATAAGAGTTGGACAGTTCAAGTGTCCAGATTAGTTATTAATATGCTGAAAGGGTTAATTCTATCCAAACAATGAAAGGTCTAATGAAATTTGGCTATCCTGACAAGAATATGAGAAGGAAGAATCTACACTGTTATCTGTGGGAACCCCTCCCACCAATGCAGACCTCAACCCATCTATGATTTAGTGTAGAACTCTTACAGAATTACCTGAAGTACACAGAAGCTCAGCAGCTCTCTGGGGGTCATATTTCTTAGCAAGAGTCAGAGGCAGGCTTGGATCCTATGTCTTTCCAACATCAAGTCCAGTGTTCTCTTCATGACACAATACTATTTCTGGTACTATATATAGGTCTTCCAAAACTGATCATCTATACAATTTAAATATTTTTTCCAACCATGGTTATTCCACATCTTCCTTCTTTACCTACCTTGTTGTTGAAATTTTTATTTTAAAATGTATTTACTCCATGGATTCCACTTGGCAGGGGGGTAATTGATTAAGTATGTGAATTTATTGTTTTCCTCAGAAAGGGGCATCCCTCTCGATTGCATGATTGTGGTTCCTTTGATCTAAGCGGGTTTTCACTTCCCAATGCCTTTTAAACTTAAGGTTCATAGTAGCTAACCTCGAATTCTAGAGAAGTTATTACCTTGGTTGTTTCCCTGTGTGGACTCTGAGATGCTGACACCTAGCTGGCTGCCATAGGAGTTGATACCCATCATGCCACTGTGAGCTGGAGAGCTGGACAGAGCTGGGATCTGACTGGGATTCCTCGGGACACTATAGAGGGCCTCAGCGATGTCAGCAGCTCGCTTCAGAATGATGTCCTACAAAAAATTCCATGAGGTTAGCACTCTTCCCAGGAAAAGTCAGAATGAAGCAGGAGGCAAGAAAGAGTAGTGGCCCAAGGCGCAAAGGTTTGGCATCTAACCTGGTTATTGTGCGGTGTTCCATAAAGGGCTTCCACTAAATCAGCTGCTCTTTTCAACAGCATTTCCTGGGGGAGAGATAGGGACAGTAACTAAATGCATGAGCACAGACAGGGTAGCCCTTTCCACAGCCTTAAATGGTACCAGGCCATCAAGTGCTGGAGACAACTAGAACTGTTAACTCCAATGCTAAATATGTTGGTGGCAGACTGCTTTTAAAAAATCATCTTTTGTTCTCTGCTCTACTAAAAAGCTCATTGAATAATTCAATTCAACTCAGCAAGCATTCAAGTACTTACTATGCTCTAACCACACTATCATAATGTGGAAATGACACTGGCAAGCCTCAAAGTCAATACCAGTAGATCCTTCGAGAGCCTACCAAGGTGAAAAGAGTTTTTAAATTGGATCCCTGTTTTGGAATGTTTGGCTGTGTTCATTTCCCCATCTTTCTTCGAGACACATCTGAAACCCCATCTTTTGTAAGAGGTCTGTTTGTCCCCAGCTGCCAGTGCCTTCCCCTCTGACATTACCTTCCATCTATGCTATATAGAATTTGTATGCACCTAGCTTTTTACATGGTGTCTCCACCACTAAAATGGGAGTTACTTGAAGGCAGGGACTGTTTTTGCCCTTCTTTGTAGCTCCAGTACTTAGCACGGTGACTGTTACGTAGCAAGCATTTAATACTTATTTGACTCAACTAAATATAAAGAGGCCCAAAAACATTCCTTAGTTCCCTTTTGACTCTAGGAAAAAAATGTAAATCCTCAGCTTAACACTTAGAGCCCCCTACACTCTGGCTCCCACCTACCTTTCAGACTTATTTTATGGTAATCTCCCTCAAACATGGGATGGTCTAGCCAAATTGGCATATTAGCAATTCCTTGAATTTGACACCTCACTTCCCATCTTGGTATCTTTGCAGGACTTTTTCCCCTACCCCCTTGTCTGAATTTTACTCCCCCCCCCACCTTTGCCTATTAGATTCCCTAGTTTCCTTCAAAACTCAACTCAGGTGCCATCTTCTAAATTGTCTTTCATGATTCTCCCTGCCCCATTGTTAGTGCATGATCCCTCATCAAATTGTCTTGAGTTTCATCATCTGTGTACATGTTGGACCCCTCTGATAGAAAGTAATGCAGGGAAATGAATGCAGAGTTTCAGTTTTGTCTTTGTATTCTGAACATCTAGCACAGTGCAATAAGTGTTTTTCAAGTTGAATCGAATTCAGATTGTAGACCCATAGCTCTAGATATGGAAGAAAACTTATACACTATCTGGTCCAACTCCCTCATTTTATGGATGGGAAAAACTAAGGTCCACAGAAATTAAGTGACTTGCCCAGAGTCACACAGATAACTGCCAGAGCTGTGATTTGAACCCATGGCCTCTGATTCTGAATCCAGCACTTTTTCCATGGGAATTGAATTAATCAACAGAAAGTTAGCTACCACATATTTTGTTATGATGATACAAATTGTGAAATGGCAAATACCAAGGAATGGAGAGATTGGAGCTACATCCATGGACAAAGTGATCGCACCATTGAATAACAAATCTTTTGTGTGTGTGTGTGAGGCAATTGGGGTTAAGTGACTTGCCCAGGGTCACAAAGCTAGTAAGTGTCAAATCTGAGGCCAGTTTTGAACTCAGGTCCTCCTAACACCAAGGTCAGAGCTTTATTCACTGTGCCATCTAGCTGCCCCTTGAACAACAAATCTTGAGGAATACTAAGGGATAATGTATTCCCCTCCAAAGAGTGCTGGGTTCCTCAGACACAAAATCAGCGATGATATGGGAAGACTTCAGGAAAAATGTGTGTGGCCAGGTAGGTTTTACCAAAGGGGGAAAAATATTTCCAAAGCCATGCTAGACATAAATCAGACTGTCGGACCAATCTAGTATTTTTAAGTGATTGATTGGCCAGAGTTCCATCCTCTTGTCTAGGAGCTATCCAGAGTTCTGAAATGACTCTGGCACTGCCTTTTGTGAAATTTGATTCTAATAAAGATGAATTCTCTCAATAACTCTCTTGTTCCTTGTTGAGAGAGAGAGAGAGACAGAGAGAGAGAGAGAGAGATTACTGATCCCTTTCCTCTCATTTTGTCTTTGCCACCTCATGTTTTTCTTACAGCTTTTTAAATCACTATTAACCTATTTTCTAGAAATCATTTATTTGTAAGGTTGGGATTTTTTTCCAAGAGGAAAATAAAGGTGCATTAGAGAGGCAATTATGAGCTTCTAATTTTTCTCATGATACAAAGAAAGAAGAACTTCACAATTTGATATCAGAATATTTAAAGTTCCAATTTGGAGAAAAAATGCAATACCTCTCAGCATTTTAATGAGATATAATAAATGTGATCAACTTATTTATTTAAATCAAAGCTGAAATAACCAGCCAGGCCCTTATCAAGTCATTTTTCATAGGCAGACTTATCAAAGGGATGCATTTCATAACAGATTTACACAAAAGTATATCTTGCCCTATGTTATACAGGTACACTCTCACACAATTTTACCCAATGAATGTTATTTCACAATAATGTCATTAATATACCATAACCAAATTCCACAGTTATAGCATCATTTGGACAATTGTCCAAGGTAAATAAGATGGCAGGTGATAACCTGAGCTAACTCTTGAGCCCTAGTGGTGATAAGCCTAAGTGTCAGCTTTACCATTGTCCACAGCATTCAGCAAATTGTGTTACAATGAAACCACTGAGACCCATGCAACATTGCTTCACTTAAAATTGTGTTCTCACAAAAATCATTAAACACCATTAAACAGAGGAAACTTGTAGATATGTATGTAGGAGGCGGTGGAAATGATGCTGACCTTGGAATCATATGACCTGAGTTTGAAATCTGGCTCTACCATTTTCTGCCACTATGACCTTAGGCAGGTCATTTTCCCTCCAGTTTTCTTCCGTGTAAAATAAGGAGGTTGGCTTAGATGACTTCCACAGAACCTTTCTACTCTAGATCTATGATCTTAAGCATTTGCTGGTTGGAATAGGAAGCCATGATCATAGGAGAGGACCCTAGAGGTCATCCCATCTAACCCCTTTATTATACAGATGAGGAAACAGAGGCCCCACTAGGACACATCTCTTGTCCGCTTAATTTCTGAAGATCTTAGCATCATTTGTTGAAAACTGGAAGAGATGTTAGAAGTCATTTGGTGCAATCCCATCATTTACCAAATGAGGAAGCTTAGAGCCAGAGGGGTGAAGTTTCTTGTCCAAAGTCATGCTGGTAGGAAGTAGAAGAAGCCGAATTTGAAATGAAGTCTAAATACGACGTACTTCCCTGATAATTGATGCATGAATAGAATATGTTAATATGTTAGGGGATCATTGGATTTCAAAAAATTCACTTTGATAAAGTGAATAGTCTTTTGCAAAGATTAATGTAATTGATCTGATTTGAAACTCTGTATTTTCAGTTGTCAGGTTTTTTGTGGGGTGTATGTGTGTGTGTGTGTGTGTGCGTGTGTTTAGCACATCTCAGAAGTACATTTCAAAATTAGGCTTTATCAGTGGAACATTTTGTGCACATTCGACACCTCTATCCCAAAGAAAACCTGGGAGAATCTTTGCAGCCAAGCTTCAAAGCCTATTTAGAACTAAGGGAATTTGTTTTCAGATGTATCTCATTTTACCAAAATGCCATAAAATGGTTATTTAACACATCAGTCTCCAGAGTGATTTACCTTAGCTAGTCTTTCTGGATCTCCAGGATGCCTCGGGATGACTTTCTGCAATCTCTGGAAGCCATAGTCTATGGTAGGTTCATTTAATGCTGAAAAAGAAAAGTCCCAACTCCTGAGTATATGTCTTGGTTATTAACCAAACCTTCTTAAAGATATAGATAGATAGATAGATAGATAGATAGATAGATAGATAGATAGATA